GGATGTCCCTGTCCTCACAAGTTCTTTGCAAGTGAAGTGTACAGGGTAAAGGCTGTGGTGGCAGTTTAGCTCGCTGTTATAAGTGAGTCTTGCTACGTAGTCATAAATTGCTTTACTTAGGTGGGTTAGTAACACCCTGGCAGTTTGCAGGTCTAGTTTACTACTAGTGCAGAGGGCACTTAAATGTATGTCTTGGTGGATTCGTTCACCAGCCCCCAAAACTGGTGTGAGTGGAGGCGCTGGCTCTTCTAGGTTGTACCATGTTCTAGTCTTTATTTAAACCGTTATGCGTTTTCCTGCAGCACCAGGATTTGTGAGTGAAACTCTCTTGCATCCCTGGGGCTGTGGACAATTCTCCTTTTCCTTGCCCAGTTTCGCTGGTGAAAGCGCTAACGGTGCAACCCCAGCCCCCGCGAGCCTGTTGGAAGCCTGCATTAGAGGCTGCCCCCCCGGCAGGTCGCTCTCTGCAGGGCAGTGCACGGCCGAACCTGGCGTTCCACGTAATGGCGCTGGCCAAGAAGAAGGAAATGACGGCATTGATCCTTGATTCAATTTGTGCTCAGGGTTCTGTGAGCAACTGGGAAGCTGTTCAGCTCTCCTAATTAATCCTTGTTCAGCTTTTGTAATAGCTACCGTAGGCAGCTGATGTAGTTGCATAGCTGACACTGCAGTGGCGTGAGTTAGAGCGTTGTTGTGCAGCAAGCAGCGGTAAAACCAAGCTGTGCTCTGTAGCCTGCTCACCAGCAGCGTCCTTGGCTTCGCACGCGCATCTTGATCTGACAGGACTGGAATTTTCCATTAGAAAGAAGAGCATAGCCCCAGGCCTGAAGCTTCCCATTAGGTGTTTCAGCTATGCAGAATGCTACCGGGTTTGCTAGTTGCTTTCCTGAGGGCTTACTCCAATCTCTCACAGACAAATTAATTCTCTCCTTGGGGTAGGAGGAACATGACACTTGGTTATGTCCTCGGTACCAGTAACAAAATTAGTTGCAGTCAGCTTGCCGGGTTTGGAGCTCTGAGAGGTGCAGACATGTGTGCTCGGCAGGGGAGGTGAGTCCCTCTGAGCTTTTTCCTTCATGAGCGTGTCAGATGCTGGAAGGGAGTTAGAAGCCATCAGAGGTTCTGGACTCAGGCCTGGTAGATTGCTTTTGTCATTTTCACTGATTTCAAAGTTGATTAAAAAATGTGTGTCTATGCTGGGATGCTGAATGTGTGCTGAAAGGTTTGCAAGGCAGGATTGGCTCAGGTTGTAGTGACACATTCTCCTGGTTTTACCTTTCTGTAGGCAACTGAAGAGAAAGCTCTGCCTAAGATTTTTTTTTTTTTTTTTTTTTTTTTCCCCTGTACCAGAAAAAATACTGGATTTGTGAAGGTTTGGGAAAAGGTGTCTCTGTCTGATAAATCAGTGGTGCACAGTGCCAGGCTTACCTCTGATTCTCAGCGCTCTGGCATTGCTAGTCCAGGGAATGCACACGCTGGGCTGCCCAGCCTGGCCTCCTGCTTCTGGAGCCTGATTGTGGGCTCGAGCCAGCTTGAAGAGTTGTTCTGAAGAGCCGCTGCCAAGCTGCTTAGCAGGAATCAGCGCTGTGCCCTTTGTGTGCGACCTCTGAGGCCTGGATAGCAGTGCTTACGTGTTTGTAGCTTCTCAGGGCTTTAATATGAAGGAAGCTACTCCAGGGAGGAAGCAATGTCAGAGCGATCCATGTGATTTTGCAGCTAGGAGATAAACGCTTGGAGTCTGAGGTTTAATTTGTCTCCTGAGGGTTTTTGTTCCCTTGGGCTAGCTGCACAATGATTTCGTTTTCCTTTCTGGTCCTCCTACTGCTATCTATAAACATATTTGTAGCCACCACACAGGTTATCTGTAAGTGATACAAGACACAAAACGATTTGAAAAAATCTATACTACTGTTCTGAAAACTTGTGGTGAACATGGTGTTTGATCCTGTTTATCTGAGCATGACATTGGGTCTGGAAGTTCCTTTGGAGGGTCACTGAGCATTTCGTATTGCCGTTGGGGCAGGACAAGCTTTAGTCATCTGGTGAGATAAGGGATTCAGGGATGCAGCCTGGCTACTGCAGGCCTTGTGTTGCTGAAATACTGGCAGTATCTGTAAAGATTCTGAGCACGGACAGGTGAGTTGCTGCTATTGGTAGCCAAAGTGGTGGGTCTGTCACAGCGAGCCTGCAGTCAACAATCTGGCTGGACTTACATTAGGACCCACTCTTTGTCCTGAACTCAGTTTGAGGTTGCCATTTGGTGAAATAACCCACCAGTCTCACAAGGGCATCCGCTGTAAACAACCCGTGCTGCTGAGATGGGTCTGTGCTTCACTTAGAGTATTGAGACAGTTGGAAACCAGCAGTAGTGACAGCTGGCTCCTCTCCAGTGATCCCCACATCCCTGTGTACTGGATTTACAGTTGGGTCTCATTTGAGTGCATTTTGGGTGTGTACTCTCTGGAAAGGTGCACAACCTTTTATGATTCTAAAGGTGGCTTTCTGAAGGGCAACAAATATTTTTTTACAGCTGATTGGATTATTCTTTTCACTGTGAGCAGTAACAAACTGCTTGTTATTCTAGGGCTTTTATTAAGTACTCTGAGAAAGAGGAAAGGATCTCTCAGCCAGCTGAGTACTCAAAACAAAAGGGAACAAATACATAGAGGAGTACCTTCCTTCATATTAAAGCCCTGAGAAGCTACAAACACATAAGCACTGCTGTCCGAATGATCATAAGCATGAAACTATTCCTAAGATCTAAATGATACGTTTAAGAAATGGCCTGTCTTTGGTGGTGGTGGTGGTGTCTAGGGTTTTTTAGTTCTTACCTAAAATCTGTTCTGAGACTTCTGCTTCTGTTAGCTTCAGTCACACCTTCCGAATGCCGTGTTTCAAGTCTTGCTTGAAAATGAATTGTGTGATTCCCATTGAAGGAAATGTCAGAAGTCACTGCCTCCAGCTTTCATGTTTCCTGGGTTTTGCAAATGTGTTCCGGATGCTGACACTTCATCCAGTTCTGTCTTGTACGTGCACGTGGACCATGAGCTCTCTCTTCTTTCTGGCAGAATAGTGTCACTCCCTCCAAGGTGTGAATACTGACAGGAAGGACAAGGGGAGGGGGAACAGACTGAATTGGTTCCATGTACCCTTCTCTTAAAGCATCATGGCTGCAAGATTCAGAAGGTTACATCTATCTCCACATGTTGATGGTTGAATCTTACCCTGTAGATACGCATGTACACAACCAAAATCTCACTTATGCCTCGTGAAACAGATTTGCGGATATTGGTTTCGGTTCCATTAACCATTTCTCACCACAGATTCTCCTCCTGGCAAAGGGAATCCTTCAGTCTTTAGGTTCTGGGATGAGTTTTTAATTTACTGGAATGTCAGCTTCCTCCTCTCTTTGTGGTGATGGTAGTGGTATGTTTTTGGTTAAGGATTCTGGGTTTAATGCTTGTCTCTGAGATCATTGTGCTGTGCTATGATCACAGGCAGGAGCAATTTCCCTGCTTCAAAATTATATGCAGGGAATTAAACAAACAAACAATTCTTGTCTGTTCTGCGTGGGTGAACGTTATGTTCTGCCTTAACTTTCCCCGCACGGATCAAGTGCTTCCCTACAGCATTGCTGACTGCCGCCATGCTCCGGCACACCAGACCCCCAGGAGAAGCTGTCATCTGCTGCCCCTGGAAACCTGTTCACTGCCTACCAGCAAGGAACAGAGGGATTTAAATATGTACAGCACACACATGAAAACTTTTGCTTGACTTTGACTTCTCAGCTCACAGCTCGGTTAAGTACGCTGTCGTGTGCTTTTGGTTCAGATTTAAGTGCCATTGCATTCCGTAATGCTGTAAGCGTGCTTATAGGTACTGCTGCATGGCACATCTTCCCATTTTCTGCTCCTGGAGAGGAAAGGCTGCTGTCATGGGATGCATCATCATGACTTCGCTGTGCTGGTGTTCAGTTCCACACTTCAGCCTTCGCTTTCTGCTAGAAATGGTTTCTTTCAGCTCATCTAATTAAGCTGACAAATAACACATACTTGCAAAAAAATAAAGTGCAAGGGACTTTAAAGTCTGCTTGAACCTTTGTTGGGACAGACTCCTTTGTCTTCAGGGAGAGCACGTGGCCTGCTCTCTTGGGTTCATGGACTCAAGATTTTTGCCTCTTTAAGTAGCTCCAAGTACTTGTTGTGAATGTTACTCAAAACTGTGCCAGCACTTAAAAGTGTGGCGTGCCTGCAGCTGGAGGAAATAACATGCAGAAAGCAGCTGTTGACAACCTTTTCTTCTCCCTTTTTTTCCTTTTTTCCTTCCTTCCTTTTTTTTTTTTTCCTTTTTTCCCCCTTCCTTTCCCCCTCGGCTGTTGTTCATCTAGTCCCATTTCAGTGTTCATGAAGTAACTGGCTTTTGTCAGGACTTATTCTTTCGGGCTATTAAATTAGATTGACCTGCAGATATGCTTACAAGATATCCTGTGGTCCATACAGCAACATAGGGACAGCTCTAGTTGCCTGCACAAGTAGGTGTTGTGTGTTAATTTAATTTATGACGTTTTTATTGGAGAATGTGCCCTTGAGAAAAGGCTCTAACCTACAGGAACCCAAAAGGAAACAGAAATGAGATGCAAGGTGGCTTCAGCAGGTAGCATAGCAGGTTTAGCTTAAGTGTACAAATTCCAAGGTTAGTGATGCACCATATAATATGTAAATTATATTAAAAGGAGGCATTGTTTAAAAAGTGCATATACAATAGTTGTGTTTGCCTTCTGCTTTTAGAAAGAAGGGGAAATGCTAATACAAATTTGACAGAAAATCTACACTGAGATGATAATTTAGGTTAATGTCAGAAGATGGAAAATTTAGATGGTTTGGGCTCTACTCTCTGTATGGCTGCTGTCCTAGTGGCATTGGTAGAGTAAATTTTTTTTTTTCCTCTGTGCTTTCCCTGTTTATATGACAAGAGCAGCAACACGGCTCCGTTTTTTATGTTGCACTTTGCTAGCAAAGGGAGCATACAGAGCTTGGAGTTATTATTGTGGAGATCTGAAAAGGATGCACTAACATATGTTCTTAGGCAAATCAAGGGCTGAGTTGGTGTTTCCTGCAGACCTCAGCTTTTCTGTGTTGTGCTGCAGCTTCAAAAGTCCATACCTGTGGTGCATGGGAATTTGGGTCCTGTATTTCCATTCGTGTGTGCCACTCTTTAAACCTTGAAGAATGCCCAGGAGAAGAGGAGGGGATGGGGTTGTTACTCTCTTGTATGCCTAACAGGAGGAGGTGATGCCATCCAGGGAAAATTTGACTTTAGCATGTGGTTGAGGTTGTGTTCAAAAACATTTTCTCTCAATCTGGCCGAGCATTTGTCACAAAGCTGTTGCTCTGTCTTGTGTCCATGACTCCTTCACCCTGCTGTTCCCCCTGCAGAGCCTGTGCCAGTAGTGAGACTGAGAGTGAAGCTGGGGATATCATGGACCAACAATTTGAGGAGATGAATAACAAGCTGAACTCAATGACTGATCCAACTGGCTTCCTGAGGATGGT